AATTAAAGATTTAGTTTTCCTCAAAATGAATTAAAACAGTTACAAGCAACTCAGAATATGACGCAAAGCTGCAATAATTAAATATGTTAAATAATACATGTTTTTAATCCCATTTTATTAACAAATTTGCTGCTGACCTTCGATGATCCAATTCAACCATACTAATAAGCAAAAATTACACAAGGTAAGCTAACATTTCTTCTTCTTTTTTATTGCTGAAGAGTGTTGAACTTTCGTCTGCTGCGTTCTACTGTACAGACGTGAATTTACATTTCCTTCAGCCTGAGGCTTTTGGTGTGAAAGGGCTTTTACATTTGCCAAAAATAGAAAAACAAGCAAGCAAGCCCTGCCCAGATTTAGAAAGTAACGCAAAAGTAACGTAACGCATTACTTCCAATATAAAGTAACTAAGTAACGTAATTCGTGACTTTTTTGGGAAGTAACGCAATATTGTAATGCATTACTTTTAAAAGTAACTTTTCCCAACACTGCACATAACCCAGATCAGAGTTGATTCAATTAACTCCATACAGATTAATGCACGTCTAACTCAATATTAATAATCAGTAATAGGCTGCCAAATGACTAATTTTAACTTTAAAACCTTCCTATGTAGTCTATCTCTATTTATTTCAGCAAATGCAACTGCAACAAATGGAACTATTGGGCAAAAAAGTGAACTTTAAATAATATAGCCTTTCTGTGCTGGCATATATAGCTACATCCTTCTGTTTGATAATTGCCTAAAAAGGAATACAAATAGCCTATATATTTGTTTTAATTTCAATATTTGTCTGTGATGCGTCCTCCGCCATCGCTAACAAATCCCCTTATAAAATCAAAAGAAAGAAACCGTGAGCAAAATAGTTTTTATTAATGATTTATCCAACAAAAAAAGCATCAAAAGACATTTAAACGTAACTTTTCATCCTCCCATGACTTAAACGCGTAACGTCTGTGGGGATCTAGACTGGTTTTGGGCGGAGGGATATGAAGTAGTGCGGTGAGCTGGTTAAGGGGGATTCAGTAAAGTGACGGTTACATTATTGCGAGCGCTGCCAGCACTGGACAGCCTTGACACTTTACAAGAATTCCCCTATAACTTTTGGAAAAAACGTGCTGGTTCTGCAGCTAGCTTAACGGAGGAATATGATACGTTCAATAAGTGTTCATAGTTGTAACTGTCAATGTTAAGAGGGCAGATTCTTTGAAAATCAGTATGAACGTAAAGGGTCTCCGCGCGGTGTTACTGGTGTTTGTCACTATAAGTACAGAGCCCCGCAAATCGGAGTCTGCGGTAAGTAATCATTGCTTGTTACTTCTTTTAGTTACATCTTAAAGTGAAACAACTGTTGCCATTGCTTTGGATCAAGCACACACGCTTTAGCTAATGTTTATAAACACAGGTTACTTTATAACACGAAAGTATTGGTTTCCTTGAGATCGCTAAGAACAAGTGCGAACATGTGACTTGAAACATGGGATATTCATCTGCAATCGTTCAAATACAATCCGTTATATTTGATTGCCTCTACTTTATTGAGTGCAAGTGCAAATATACGCGCATCACATTTTAATAGACCCAACTGCATGTAGAAAAGTAGGATGCTCTTTTAAAATGTATTATTAATGTTGGATATACTTTATTTAAGATATCATTTAATAATAATCGTAAAGTTTCGAACTTTTTGGTAACTCTTGTCAATATTATAGGCTATCTTTCTGTTTTTATTTTTGTTGTTGTTGTGTTTGCTTATTTATTTTTTTGCTTGTGTAGTTATTATCAGTAGTTTTTGTTTTTTTCATAAATACACATGTAGCCATTCTCATTCTCATATTGCATACTGGTTACCTCACAGTGGTTATGTTAAATATATTTTCTTTGCAGTGGTTTCTAATCTGCACCAACAATTTTTTGCACAAATGTTTCTGGTATAAGCGAATGGAATCTGATTACTGACACTGTATTTATATTTGCACATTACATGTGACATTATTGCCAAATTAAATGCCAGTTATTTACTCATCACAAACTTGATGTGAAATGATAAGGAATAATTGTTCTCATTTGTAAAATTTCCATATGAACCCATTCATTGAGCACAATTTTGCTGTGTTTTTAGCCTCTACACCACAGAGTGAGCCTGGTCAATCTGACATGCTTTGCATGCCTGTATTTTACAAAGATATGGCATCACTATGTGGCCGATTCATTGTCCCACTGTCAGAGTAGGCAGTAGCAGGAGGCAGACAGGTGAGGACATGTTTAGGGAGGGACCTGTCCTAGAGGTACAGATACAGCAGGGACAGAAGAGCACATGTGGTGACCTTACAACAAAACACATCATGTTCCTACATTTCCCAAAGGGCGTTGTTGTGCACCAATCCCAACAGGGAATGTAAATGTAGTTTGCACTTCCCTTCCCAATGACTGGCTGTTGAATTGTTCTGATTCTCAATAAGAATTCTGGAGCTCTTTCATTTTACTGCTAAGGATCCGCCCAATTTCTTTTTCTCAGTTTACAAGGTGAAAGGTGACATCTGTCATTCATAGAGAGAGGAGTTTACTAGCCATCAGGATAGGCATGTAGACATAGAGTGCCACCCATCCCCCGAGACCAAGATTGCACGACCCTCAGGTCTATTCAGTAAGTGAATCTAACCACAGCCTATTGTTCACACAACCTCTTAACCCCTCAAGATGATGTAAAAAAATGCCAGTTTATACATACCACCCCCCAGTCCAGTATGCCTCTGCGTTTGCCTGATGTGGATTATCAAGGAGACAGTGTGTGGCACTGATTATTTAGAATAATTCCGAATTTGAAACATTTGTTTTATAATGTGTCACAAATAGATATATCCTTGAGGCTAGAGTTCCTTGCTTTGGCTTGTGCTCGATGCTTTTCAAAGATACCGTTAGTAAATCTGACATTGTTCACGAAAGAGTTAATAATAAGGCAAATTAGTTTAGAAACATGATGGACACCAGGGCCATTGCTAGACCCCTTATACTGGGACATGGGGACAATAATACCGCTGTGTCCAAGTAAACTATTATTGATAAATCCTTGTCTGGTAATATTTTAGCAATCATGTCATGTGTCTGTTTAGAATCAGAAATAGTGATGCCAGATTTGTGAAGGAATAAATATTGATGTAATTGGTCTAGTTTTGCAAAAAAAAGTCTGAAATAGTTTAATTCATTCATTGACTCAGATTAATTCATTTAGACAGTTCACTCTGGCATAGAAACGTTTGTAGCTGTTTCTCACATCATAACAGAATACTTTATAAGTCATAAAACAAAAAGAGCGCTGGATGAGGTGGATAATTAATCCACTGTAGGTAACAAAACTTGCAAATGTATTCTATCGTTTGTCAACAATGAAGCAGCTCTTTATTGCAGGTGCAGCTTGTGAAGACCGTTTAAATCCATTTATCCATAACATTATCAAAAAAAGTACCAAAATATTGGGAAACTTGGTGTTGGGGCACTCTATCTAACTAAGAGATGTCCTTTTGAGGAGCCAATGCAGTATGAAAGAACAGATTTTTAAGTTAAAGACAAACATGTCCTTAGTCAGTAATTTTTATTTTGTTTATTTACAAACTAAAATTCTAATTACCTATGATATTTTAGGTTTTTATTCTTCTGGAGATGCCAGAACCTGGAGTCACCAGGTCAGAGAGTTTGTTGGTAACTTGAACCATAGGGGTCTGCTTTGAACGTTTCATACTTGAGGGACTCCATACACTGTGCAGGTCAAGGTGTATGAACATGTATGTGTGTGTGTGTGGCGTCTGTACGTGTTCTGCTTCAGATATGTGTGTGTGAGCGCACTTACATGCTGGGATGTGTACATATCTGCTTTTATATACATAATATGGTAATGCACATACATGCTGATGTGCCTTTGCACGTGTCTGTGTGTGTGTGTGTCACAGTGTGTGTAATAGAATCCACCAAAACCCCTAGAGTCACAAATGATGAAGCACCCCAGCTATCAAAAAAAAACACACACCCATGAAGTCAACCCAAACATCAGTAATCTGTGTTCACAGCCATAACATCCATTCAGTGCAGAGATATCTACCCTGAGTGCCTGGGTTTTGCTGCAATCTCATGCCAGGATATGGGTACCAAGTTGGCAGATCATGATAGTTCTGTCTCTCCTGGAGGACAAGCAAATTCCAGTCTTATCTCACCTGCAGGAGAGAGAGAGAGTCACGAGATGTGCACAGGCAGCCATACAAGAAACTTATTTCAAAACAGGCCCACAAGCGCTTGCAATGCTCACTATGACAGCTCACACTAGAAAACTATTTTTATAAAAACTATGTCGAGTTTTCTAGAATTGGATTTCTAGTTGCACGAGTTAAAGGGATAGTTCACCCAAAAATTGCTGTTAATTGACCCACCCTCAGGCCATCCAAGATGAGGGTGACTTTTTCCATTCAGTAGAACAGTAAAGAAGATTTTTAGCTAAAACCGTGGTCCTTGATGATGCTTAAAATCAAAGTCAGCAGCTGCGGTTGAGGTGAAGCGATTGGTCTGTGCAAGAAACTGAACATTATTTACAATATGATTACCTGTAATCTATAGCATCAGGCAAACGGTGCTGAGTGATGTACGGTTCGCGAACGAATAATTATTTTGAACGGGTTCATTTTGGGGTGAAATATCTCTTTAAGAGGCTAGTATCAAGACTGTGAAGAGACATTCTGAGTCACCTGGAGTGTGTTTATGCTGAACTTCATGCCCTCATGTGTCAAAGGCTCTTTAATAGTCTTTGTAGCAAAGATCATAGTTCCTGAAGAGGAAGCATATGGCTCAGATAATTGAAGTTTGGAAGATACTTTGATATCTTGGCAAATCTGACCACAGTTTAAAACGTTAAGTAAACGTGCATGCATTTTAAAAGTTCAGTTTCACTCAGACTTAATAATTTGTTAAACATTAAAATTATAATATTTTTAATATAGTTTTTTTTTTTTTTTTTTTTTTTACATATTTTAGTCTAACTGAAAACGTACCAGTTACTGTTTTGTATTGTATGAAGATCCATTACTGAGGTATTTTTCTCAGGAGAAACATCACAGAAGCAGGAGATTCGATCAAAATCTTTTGATCAAGCAGGAGACTTGATTTCAAAATTCAAAATTAATTAACCTATTGCTGGTTGAAGGCCTGGTGAGTGTTAATAGATTAAATGGCATGTGTGTACTGTGCTTATACTTACAATGTGGTGAGAAAGAGATGCAAATACCATTTAGGATTAGCTGTACAGTGATCCTCCTCTCACACCCAATCTCTATTTCCCCCACTGCCTCACCCCCCACAGCGCTAAACCCTAAATAAACTGGCAAATAGCAACTTTTTCAGTGGGTGGCTAATTTACACCACATATACAAACACATGCATGCACTCTGTGTTTGTTTAAGTGATGGAGAGGTCATCAAACTGAAAGAGAGAGAAGTTACCTGGACAGTATAAAGACTTTTTGCGCAGAGGCTTGTCTGCTTTAGATATCTTCTCATCTTAGTCTGAGACTGAGGCATGTTTCGTCAGAGTTTGAATGGGAGCAAGAGAACATCTATTGTTGCTCCAGACATCACCTTCATTATCATTCTCTCTGTTTGATAAGCAGTCACGTAAAGGGATTTTTGGGTTAGTGCATTACAGAAATCGTCTCTAGGTTACGTATGTAACCATGGTTCCCCGAGGGAACGAGACGCTGCGTCGAGTCGCTTTGGGAACGCCCTTGCGTGACCGCGTTCTGAAGCACGTGTCAAATCCGTCCAATGGAGCAGCGAGACGTCACGAGCAGGGTGACGTAAGCACCAGAAAGCAGTACATTACATTGCTTTTAGCAGATCCAGCACATTAGAGAACAACAAAGTTATTATGTTTCGAATAACTTAGAATTTACATTTCATACTTTTAAAGTTCATTTAATACTTTGTCATTTCATTTACCAATACTATGCAAACATGATAGCCGTCTCAAAAAATGTCCATAATAGCTTCATTGCTATAAATTCTTCAAACATTCTGTATAAGATGAGAGAGCAGAAGTTCTGAAATGGTTTTGTTCCAGGACCCACACTTTACATTGGACATCAAGTCGAGGATCAACACAGCGTCAACACATATAATATGCTGGTATAACATTTGAAGGGATAGTACTTACCCAAATCCAAACATGTATAACTTTCTTTTTTCTGTAGAACATAAAAAAAGATATTTTGATAAATGTCTCAGTGTTTTTTTGTCCGCGGTCACCAAAATTCTTCA